TTATTTACACAAGACCGGCAGTTCAAGGGAAATGTATAAACTCAGAAAACATTTAAGCGGAACTCACAGATGAGTATGAATATACATAAGTATAGTATGTGAGCATGAAGAGATACATGGAATGTTTTGCTTATGCGGAACCTTTGAATTTACAATCCAAAAGAATATAAATGAAATTATTAATGAAATACAATATTCAAAAATCAAAAAAATTTTCGGTTAGGATTCATTTCTCTGATAAAAGAACTAATTTTGAATTTATAACTAAAAATTAAACCCGTATAATCTCATCCAATATTATATTTCCAGACACCATTTATTGTTAATATGTAAAAATCATTATAATCTGAATTACAAAATAGTCTACAGTCGGTGCTGAAAATAGGGAACGCATAAAAAATTAATATAATATTTAGCTGAACAAATTTAATTTCTAGGTAAACAACAAAACAAATAAATAACGCATTCCATGTGGCGTCATAATCAGCTTCAAATTTAAATATTTAATCACTCTAATAATGTGAAAATAAAGATATATATTTTATATATATTATATATATATATATTATATATATATTTATATATTTTATCTATTCGCTTAGAAATATATAACTACTTGAAAATCATTTTTGCCGTACGGCTTGAAACTTAAGAGGTTAGAGATCACTTATTTTTTTGATTTAGAAATATATTTTAGAACAATAATTATATTGAAATTAAAGCACTTTAAGCTCGTGCCATAGATTAAGCAAACTACTCCAAAGGTTGTAATCCCGGCCAACATTTTAATTTCTTTAATGCTATATCTGCTTAAACTTAAACACGTTCTTAGGATAATAAATGTGCAGCCAAGTTTTGTCAACGAAGTGTGGCTTGTGAAGCTGCTTTAAGGCATGTCTCTGCGCCATTCCATTGCCACAGTTTTTGGCCCGATCCCAAAAATAATTTATGTAGTCGAAAGTGTGGCACAGAAACGGCACTGCCATAAAACTTCAAGTGACAGGAGCACAGGCCACAAGGCATTCAAGCCCTCCATCATAAAATGCCCTCTTTTTTGTGCGAGACGGAGTGCAGATTGCAGTAACTGACAAATCGCATTTGAAGAGCAGACGGCGATGTAGTCTTTTCAACACCTTATGCCTGTCAGTGTGCAAATCATAAAATCCCTTTGCCAGCTGGCAAAAACTCAATAAACTTGACACAACACTAAAAAGCATGCAGCGACAAATGAATGTACAAATTCGTTGAAAATTTATATCGTTGCTAAGGGTAAAACCCCAACTGTAAACGAGCCCCGCCCATTTGAATGCAATAAATGCGTCAAACCGCCAGAGAGCCCACCTAATTTCAGTCGGTCGGCTGTGTCGAGCGGCTACCATCATTTAATTTATTTGCTTGGCCAACTCCTTTTGACTTTAAGCGCGGCGTGAAATGAAATCCTAGCCACAAAGCCGCGCACACCAGCACTGTAAATAGAAACCCACACGCCAAAGCCAGCCACCACTCATATGTCGACGAAGCAGCGAATACAAATTTGTTTTGGACCCCCTTATACGTATATTTGTTAAATTGAAAAACGGAGAACTCAGAACTGAAGTGGCAGCGCCCAGTGAGACCTGTTTGCTGATGACCGCTAAAAAGGCGCACCCAACAGCATTTCGGAATCGAGTCGCCAGTCCAAAAAAACATATATATATTCGCTCGCAGGGTAATTGATGTGAACGGGCTTGGAACGCCTTTGCCGTCTGCAGCGGTTTTTAGTTGAGGATTCGTCAGAATGCGTTTGAAATTCGCTCTAAAATATCGAGCGTACCTACCAAATAATTTAGGAAAGTGCTGGCCAACACAGGCCATGGCGATGGGCTCTGTTAACGGTTAGTTCATTTTAAATTCCGTGTTCTGCGTTTAAACAAATTTCAGACTCTATTGAGCCGCAATCGAGTTCATTTAAATTATTATAGTTCAAGTTATTCAATTATTTACTCTGGTATTTCAAACAACAAGGAGCTGTCGAAGTCATTTGTTTACTTTAAGTTCGGGACTGAAAACGATACACTTCTCGGCATCTACACTTTTAAAGCCGATGGAAGAGCGGAAAAGACATCAGAAGGCGCAATTATATAAAGTTGACTACAATTTTTCCTTTGAAAAATGTTGAAAGCAGTTTTCTTTCCTCTCGTTAAACTTTTCCCTTAAAATATGTAAGACTTTGAAAGTGACAGTTTTCTAGTTGATTCCAGGACAGTTTATTAAATGTAGGGCCACGCGTCTTGGAAAAACTGTTCAGCGTATTTACCTTCCGCCGAATTCCAGAAATATATATTCATATTCGAAATGCAAATTTGTTAGCTTCCACATTCACGAGAAATGTTTATAATGCTTTATTTTTTCAGTGGGATTATATGTAAAAGAACGTTTCAACCAACAAAATAATAAACATTGTGTTACAGTGCCTTTCTTTGAACAAAAAAATAGCATACAACATACATATGTATGTAAGTAGAGTATGTATGTAGAGTATGTATGTAGAGTATGTATGTAGAGTATGTATGTAGAGTATAAAAATAAAATAAAGTCAAAAATGAAGTGTCGCTATTATGCGCTCTTCTCACGCAAATCAATGGGTTGAAGTTCAAGTATAGTGTGCATTAAATTAAATTAAATGCAATGTTTAAATTTTGCTTAAGCTTGGGTAACAATATTGGAAAATGCAGTGAAAATAACTCAACATTATCGTGCAGGCTCAACTCTTAAATACATCATAATTACATCAGAATCGTGTCTATGCATGTGGTATACGTATATACTATAATCACCAACTTAATGTGACTAACAAATTTTAGTTTAAAATTTCAAGAATTACGGGAGTTATAGAAAATCCTGAATAGGGGGGAGTGGGAGGTTGGATCAGAAAAAATGAACAAGCTCGTCCTTTCCCGGGCTAAGGAGAATCTAGATACCAAGTTTGGTTATTCTAGCTCTTATACTTTCTGAGATCCTTGCGTTCATACAGACAGACGGACATGGCTATATCGACTCGGCTTGTCATCATGATAAAGAATACTTGTATATATACGGCTCCTTATGTTTGTTCCATGTACACTCGCACAAAACTAATACAAGTACACCCCTTTACCCTTTGGGTACAAAGTATAAAAAGAAAACAATATGCAATTACTCCGGATCTCAGAACAAAGTTGTGGCTGTTGCCATAAAAGAGTCGCTGCCTTTTTATTAGTGAGCTGCTACAGAATGTTGCATGGTTGCATGTTGCTTTGTTTTATATTTTCTCTCTTTCTTGAACTCTGCAGGGCACTCTTAGTTCCTATGTTTTTTTTAAAGAAGCAGCACTCAAGTGCAACCCTCTGCTGGATTATTATCTGAAAACACCTAATAGATAGTATTTATGTACAACAAATGTTTGCGATTAAATTTATTAGCACTGATTTCTACCAACAGAATCGCTTTCATGCACACAATTCTCACTGAATTTCAAAAAGTTCCTCCCTTTTCACTCAATTTGCATGCTAGATTGTCGTTTGTGTTATGCCTTTGTCAATTTTGTTTTCGAACTATAAACTAATTGGCATAACAAAAAAAGAATGTCATTAGAAGAGCAATTTTATTGCGCTTTAGAACAGTTTTGTGAACAATTGCGATTTGTTTCACACAAATAAAAGAAAAGCAAATGAATGAATGCGAATATTGCGTAATCTAAACGAAATTAAAAGCATTTATTTTTCAATTAAAGAGGATGGATACATACGCAATAAATTGTGCATAAAAATATCCGTTTGCGATAAAAACCATACACAAAGGACAGCGTTTTAGCAGTCAGATATTTTTAATCAACATCTATACTTCATAGCTTGTACATAATTTTGTACAAAAAAAATGCATTTACATTTATTCGACTTTAATTTTTTTTCGCTCTATAGTAATTGGTCGTCCAGCATGAGCTATCGTGGCCAGGGCACAAATCAAAACATATCCAATGAGATATTCCATTTCGCAATAAAGTAGTATACAAGTATATTTATTTCAACGTTTGCGGACTTAACTTTGACTGAAACTTTCGACCGATAATAGAAAGAAAGTGCAACTGGCTAAATATTGGAAAAGCTAATTTTTGCATAACCGAAGAAAATTGCATTGGAGACAGTCTAGGTTCTACTCAATGCATGTCATTCATTTGGGCATAGCAATAGTATATATATTAAAGTAAAATGAAACGAAAAACAAAGATCATAAGAGTTATCGATGCTTCTAAAATAAACGCAATAATTTATTGTTACCAAACAAGATTGACAGATTCTTCTTCTTGGTTCTTCAAGCCCATGGTTTGATTGAAGCCCATGAACCCATTTATTGTGCGCTAAATAATTTTGGAAAGTAATTGGGTTAGTTTGCTAATTGAGAGCTGAATTGGAATTTTATTTAAGCCCACTTGGTTTCTTATCACACCATTTCTAGAAACCAATAGAGAGTTAACTATCCTTGGTGTTGTCAGTCTTCATAAGTTGATTATTAATGTGTGATGTGGACTCCTCTTAAATTGTATGTCATCTTTATTTTTTAGTTCCATATAGTTCGACTAGAACTAGGAGTATTTTCCATAAAACCTATCTAGATATAAGTGTAATTAACTCGTTTTCCTGAATTTTTTTAATATTTTAATGATTTTTTTCTCTTATTGTCAACAATAGATAATAAATAAATAAATTTGCTTTTGAGCAACTTTCTATTGAACTAACACGCAAAAATTGTGAGCCATTTAAAATGTTATTCATACTAAAGGTTTAACAACAATTTATAATTAATTAATTAATTAATTTATTAAAAATTTCCAAAATATCCACAAAATTTAATTCCGTTCTGTGGTGCAGCCAGAGCCATCGTAGCAAGGCCACAAATCAGAAGAGCTCCAAGGATACATTTTATTTAAAATCCTGAAACAGTAGCAGGTTACTGGGCATAAAAATGAATTGCGAGTAGCTAAGTAATTTAAACAAGATTGGAATGATTATATGGATCGTGTTAAAATTGTAACGAATAATGAAATAGAACGCAAAATTTAATATAACAATTGAACTGTGTGTCTTTGGCCGTAATAGCTATCGGAGTGTGTTAAAAGTTCATCGACACTCGCTTTCATGCTTCCCCAATTGTTCACCACTCCACCCCTTTGAATGGTAATCGTGTCAAATCTTCAACTATTAACAATTCGGTAACAAATAACGTTTAATGGTGATAGGAATCGACCAATCCATAACCTCGTCAGCGGTAAAGTTCTCGTGTATGACGTTGCGGCAAATGCCTTGCAACGATTGAACTGCAAGAGAAGGCAAACAAAAACTGTATAGAAACTTTTCGCTCTTGATTGAAGCTCGCACTTACGACCATCTAGCTGTATGATGCGAATTTTTTTTGTTGCGCCATATAAGTCAATAACGATGTACAAAGGAGCTGCTTGTAATGGAATGTTTTTCGCGGCCGGCCCTTTATCCACACCATTTATGATAAAGTGTAGTTCAGCATTTAGCGGATTGTTTTCGGTCGGCGCGTAAATCATTCCGATCCGGCAACCTATAGCACCTAATGGCATGTTAGAGCCCTCGTTGTTCACTGTCGGATAGAGTAATTTTTTTGGCAGCAAGCCACGGGGCGTGCGCACATGTGTCGATTCCCCCAAAAGATTACCTAAGCAATAGTGAAGGACTTAGCAAAGCATCTAACATATCAACAGCCATAACTTACGATATGGCAGCGCTTGATAAATACTGGGATGATCCTGTGCATACTTAGATAATGGAAATATCCAGGTGTTGCCATAATTTGACATTTCCGGCAAGGAGAAACGTGGCAGGTCCTCGTTGCCACTCATAGTATCAGGTACCAATAGTGTTAGGCCCATGCGCATGTGCCCAGACCACTCGCTCTCAATTTGTTCGATCTCAACGAGAAATATATCACCGGGTGTTAGAGGCTGCTCCGAAAACAGGAGCGCATCCGCAAAGCTTTTGTGTCTCAAAGCTACCGAGGAGTTCTCGAGCAACACAACATTGGCGCCATGAAACGGATGGAAACGCCAAATGGAATTTAAACGATGTCTCCTTTTCATATCGCCACCTCCGGATGCAGGTTTGGTGTCCGCATCCTCTTCAATGTCCTCTTCAGCTTCAATATCCATGTCGTAGCGATCAACAGCATCCATCTTTTGTTTTTTAATGTGTTTTATTTGTTTTATTCGATTTCCTTTTTGTTCGTTCACTTATAAAATACTTCTAATAATTTAAATATTTCACACACATACATATGTACGTCACATGACAAAATGTAAATATGTCGATTGTGTTAGCAATGATCGATTCGATTGGTGTTAAAAAGAACTAGTTCTCAAAGGGTTCAAAAGCTCACACTTACCCCTCAAGTAATTACTAGGAACCGTTTCTCCATTTGTACATATCGTAAATTTTTCCGTTTTTTTTATTAAATATTTATCAATAATTAACAACTGAAAAGAAATAGATTTTAGATTTTTCATTATTATGATTATTCATTAAGAACTGACATTATATTTACTACCGTTTTAAAATTCGCTTTACTAATATTTTTGGGAAATAAAACAGAATGTTCTTTTGGGTTGACCAGGACATATCAGTGAATTTTATTCTACTAGTTCCATAGAAGTAGTTAGAGTTGTATATTTGTTTATGAATTTAACGTCGCCAGTATTGTCAAATGTGGATGAAAAGTCTATCGATATATGGCGCACCAATTCGGCCTACATAATGAGATGCCAACTCTTAATGGTTATTGGTTTATAAAAATTAAACGAATGATTATTGAAACGGTTTTCTAACGCATGTTAGTAATGAAATGAGCTACCTAGTTATCAAAGACTTCAAAATGACGGACAGACGGACATGTCTAAATCGATTTCTCTCCTCATACTGATTAAGAATATTTATACTTTATGGGGTCGGAGATTCTTCCTTCTCCCTGTTACATAATTTACACAAACCTAATACGAGTATACCCTTCTTACCCTACGGGTACAGGGTATAAAAAGTAAGAAAGCGTAGAATAAGAGAAAACGCAAATAAATTTAGGCTTGGCCTTTGAAAAGAAAGGGCGAAAAGTCTGCCGTGGAAGGCAATTTTAATCAAATTATATGTCATTAATCCGCCAGTAAGCCGCTTGTTAAAGCATCTTATTGCTCTTTCCTTTGCTTAATATAAATGCCAGCACACTCTGGCCGGCGAGTACACTCGGTCCACAGCATCGTTACAAAAATATAACACTCGAGCCAAAAAGGAATTCATGCACAACTTTCAGGGTGTTATGCCAAATACGATACATTTAAAGCTTTCATTTATTACTTGTATAAACTTTAAATTAAAGCGTTTGTTCTAGTTAGTTGCCAACGTGATGATAGTCAATAAATCAAATGCATGCCATTGTAAACACAACATGGCTAACATTATAAAAACGACCCAGGCGCTTGTTGCTATAAAATTTGAGTAAAACCTATTTGTTCAGTTTTTGTATATACCCTCACGCAGTTAACTCTCCCACGCGTTGTCCTCCATCTGTTAGACTGGCGTCACAGCTTGTCTCAATTACAGGCAATTTATGCGAATTATTCTGCACGGCACGACACAAAAGCGTTGAAAAGGCATCCCTGACCCAAGTAAGACCCACCAACCACTGCATGTTAATTTGATTTAGATGCATTTGGCCGCACGAAGCGTGCGAGTAAACCTTTTCTCGTTACTGATGCGCTGCGATGGACGAATTGCGCAGCTCATTAAAATTAATTTCATTTGCTGCACATTTTCCGAGCGTAAACAAAAGCACACTCACACATACATACACAAGCACACTTGCATAAACGCTGGCGCCATACTTGTATATTGGTCGCTGATATTTTGCACATGTTGCGGCCAAGCGGCAACATGTGGGTGGCAACTCTTCTCGCACCTACATAGACATGGATACCCTGTCGTTCTCCTGGTGTTGACTGCCCTTGGTGATGAGCCTAAGTTCGTTTTACTAAGCGCTGGCAAAGAAGATTTGGAAGTGGAATGGAAAATGTTATTTTCATATGGACATGGCCAATATCTCCACCCCAGGCCGGCATTTGATATCGACAGTCTCGTCAACGATTACGCACAAAGTTTCTCAGAAAATTGGGTTTATTTTCTTTCCTGTTTCGCCTCTTTTTGTAAAAACAAGGATATGAAAATTATTATGTTAGGCTTTTCTTCTTCTTCAAACTATCTTTATCAACGCTTTTATGAGTGTATGTGTATTTTTATAAGTTTTTCTTATATGAAGGTTCGTTTTATGGTGCAGCAATGGCTATACGAGCACTGATCCGCGCTGGCTATTTTGTTTGTTTGTTTTTATATATTTAATACACATTGCTAAAAATGGAATGGCGTTAAAGATAATTTCGTGGAAATGTCACAAATGTGTTAGTATCATATATCACTTATTGAAATGCCATCTATCTGCCGCGCTAGATCAAAAAGCTTTAATATGTCAAGTAGTATTGATCATACATGTAGATTATTTTTCGGATGTTTTTTTTTTTTTTTTTTTTTTTTTTTTTTTTTTTTTTTTTTTTTGTTAAAATAAGGGGTGTATATATTCATAGGCATAAGATGTTAACCCCACTAGCTGTGCACGAGTTGCGAACCACAGGGTGGTGCGTGTTTGTTTGTTTGTTTCGATGTACATATGCATCATTCACTTTGAGTGGCTCTAATAATATGCGTAATTTACCAGCCGCACGTATATACATATGTTGTACTACCAACACCCAAAAGCAAAGTCGCCTGCCTGCCTATTGCCCATAAATAGAATTTGTGTGCACACGTTTCTGACTTTGAATAAAGCACAAGGCCGATCGCTTGCACACCCTGCCTTGCCTTTGTTGTTACCTCTGCCATTGCCTTGGCGAGGCTTTGTGCTCTGGCCAAGTTTATTGTTTGTTGATTTTTATTATATTTTATTGCCATGCCGTTTCCAATATTCATCTGGAGCATGTAAGCATGCGTTCGAGTTTATTTTGTATTCGACGAGTGATTGGTTTATTTTACAACAACTGCAAATTGTTCCTTGCGTGAATACGGAAATAATCTTTTAGATAATATATAAATGCTATAAATCTGTTGGTATCAGGTCTGAACCTAAATTAGGTATAATACGACTCCAAATGTTCCTGTTCGATTTGGGAAAATAATGCAACGCTTGTTCAAACTATACCCTCATTCGAAATTGCATTTTACATTGAACTTTTTTTATTTTGAATAAATAATTACAAGTATTCTGCAATAAACTCATAATTTTTTCATTATTCAGTTTTTGATTAATCCACAACTATGAAAGCTCTAGTTCTTCAATTTTTAAAGAGAAAATTTTCACATATTCAACTTGATTTGAAGACATAAAAATTGAGAAAAAAATTATATATTTCCTGATATGAACTTGAAAAGTCAAATTGTTCCAGTAATGAAAATTAAACTTATTATATGTATATTCTCTGAGCGAAGCTGTCAATAGGGTCTAATCGAATATTGATTTAAGTTTGAGTTACATTTTTGGAATAGAATTAAGACGGAATTTATTCCATTATTTCGCTTGATTTAAAGAATAAAAATTTATACTGATATATATTCAATTGGAAAGTAAATAAGTGCAATTGTTTCAATAATGCAAATTAAATTTATTAAATATTGGTTGAGCGAAGCTGTCAATAGTGTTCAATCGAATATTGAGTTATGTTTGAGTTACGTGAGTGAATACACATGACGAAGCTCTTGACATGGACGAAGTCTACTCCGGTTCCTGATTGGTATTGAATGAGTTCTTAAAATCCTGTCTTTTCCAATTTTGCGCTGCCACTCAGGGTTTGGAGTACATAGCTTTGGCCTGAAGCCACAAAGTGATTTCAATGGTGCGTACTTTATTTAAATATTTTCATTTGCGCTGTTCCGAAAGATGGGAGCACCCTGAACATACTCGAGCTATTTACGGAGAATAAAAAAGAATGCGTTGAAGTGCCGCAGCCATCGTCAAATTCGAAGTGTGTGTGTGTGTGTGTACATGTGTGTAAATGTTGATTTTTCTGTGTTTCGTTTTTCCTACATTTTTATTTCAGTGGCGGAAAAGCAAAATCAACAAAATCATAATAAAAAGGGCATAACGCGAATGCCAAGTAGAAAATGGCAACGGCAAGGAAGCAGAAAAAAGCTATAGATAGAGCTTGATTGTAGGGCGGGGCAAGGCATCCTGTATGGCGGTACGTTGTCAAAATATTTTGGGTGACAGCGTCGCAAAGAGAAAGCCAAGAAGACTTGGCCCACAGCGTTGCTTTTCCAAGCACACACGTTAGTACAATGGCGGCAACAGGAACGATTTGGAAACACGTATATTGAAATGCAAAAAGCAAACAAAAGAAACGTTTAGACAACCACAGAAAACAACATCGATAGCAGCAACAACAGCAATGATAAAAGCATCAGCGACAACAACAAGAAGAGTGGGTTTGACAATAATAGCGCACAAACCGGAAATAGACAAGCCACCAAAAGCAATCCAAACCAAAGTGCCAGAAGGCATGCGCCCATCGATTTGACCATGTTAGCATAGTGGTCATAATAATGGCGGCTTAAACTGTCTCTCTCTGCATGTCTGTGTGTTTGTGTGGGTTCTCTGCTTTTTTTATATGTGCTGCCCCATGCAGGTTCATCGCAAATATAAATAAATATATTTTATGTACATGAGAATTTTATGCAAAAGCCAGTGGCTCCACAATTCGAGTATGCATTGCGAAATTTTCATTATTGCTGAGTTAACGAAAATTGAAAAGCATCTGCATGAGCAGCAGAACCACAATGGAAATAGGAATCAACAACACAATTTATTCGAAGTATTCTAAGTGAGTGCAAGCTGTTCACACTCAGATGCTGAGCATAGCATTGGGTCTTGCTCATACTTGTAAGCTTTATATAATACTCATTACAAATAAACTGACCATCGACTGCGATGTTCTGGGCGTAAAACAATATTATATACTATTCGCTGTTTCACAACTGCTGCTATAACTATTTCCAAATAATTTGATTCAATTCAATACCCTTATTTATCATTACAATTGCAAAAGACAAATATACAAATAAATAATAAAATCATGTAAATAGTATAAATACTCAAGAATATATTATATATTATTCAATCTTAATATACTTTATATGTATATACTATGAGCTTCAACT